AGACAAAGTGGAAATTTTTGGGAAATTTGTGAGTATGAAGCCCATTTCATTTTTTTTAAGGGAAAAAGGAAGATGCAACACATCTGTGGTTTCCAAAATGTATTGCAATTCAATTTAATGTAATTCAATAAACAAGTATCGAATCTGTTTAGTTGTCAGGCACTGTGGTAGGATGAGATATATCACCTGCAAATGTGGGGAAATAGGACCTGGCTTATTTCACAGGTTTATTGAAAAGATGAAATGAACTCACAAGTATGTGAGAACCTGGCACATAGAAAGCTCTCAAATAGATGCTATTATTGTCAGTATTTGGAAGTATCTGGATGACTTGACTGTACTCTGAAATACAATGTTTTGTTGATGTCCAGTTCACAATGCCTACAGAGTGTTGTTTTGAATAGTACTACATGGAAGGCAATGCTGAAAGCCTCTTGCAGATCTGGGTTTGGATCCTACTTACATCCTAACTCCATCCCTTAGTGTCAATATTCTCATTTAGGACTGCTAGTTTTCTGAATAGAGCAACTAACTCATTCAGAGTTAACCATGGTTACGATTGTTATATTCTGCGTGTCTTAGGCTGGGTCTTCCTCAAAGCAGAGTCAGAGGCGGACTGCTGGGTGGAAGTAGATGATGTGTGAAATGACATTGGGGAGCAGCAGAAGGGAGCTGTAAAAACAGAGTAAAGAAGCAGAGCAAGTTAGTGGGAATTACTGAATGGACTACTGCTGCACGTGAGATGCTTACTTTTGTCGTGGCATTCTGGAGGCCTTCATGAAATGCATCTCAAAGTTACCTAAAAAGGAAAGTATGTATTCACTGGCTCGTGGGCACTGACGGACCAGAAAGAAGGGGCTGGGGCTTACCCTTGGGCTTAGGACCTGGTATTGGCATGATCAGAGTGCACCTGAATGAAGCAGATCAGAAAATGAGTTGTCACAGGGGCTCAAGCCATGGGTGTGGTCAAGTGAATATGCAGTGTTGCACAGAGGTATGCCAGGAGACTTCCAAGGAAAACAGATGAGGCAGTCGCATTGCTCATTAAGGTGGGAAGACGACACATACCATGAAATATAAAGTGCATTTAAAGGAATTGGAAACTGCCTTTCAAGTGAGAACACAGGGATGTTGGTCAAAATAGGCATGTTTCATTTGTTTCTGATGTACATCTTTTGAACTGTGTTCTCATATCACATCAGCTGTTGGGGTTTGGGGAAATAAAAAGAACAGAGAAGGTTCCCAACCTTGAAATGTAATAAAAACTGCAGGAGCAGATCATTTTTGCTGTCTCCCAGCTTTCTAATATTGTGTACGCCATTTTCCTAAAGCAGAACTCCAAGAACACAACTTCTTAAATTGAGACTGGTCAGCAAATCTTTAACTAGAGGAGGAAAATGGTATACAGATGTGTTGAATTGTGGCTGTATTCAGAAGAAAGTCCTCTTTAGAATTTTTTGAACCAAAAGATTGTTTAATCTTTACTGACTGGTGGGAAATGATTTTAAAAAGAGAGAGATGACTTCTATTCTCCTACCCCCACAGTTATTAGAATTCACATTTATAACAATTTTTGTCCTCTCCAGAAGAAAACCTTTATTCACCTGTAAGAATAGTCAGTGTAATATTAGTCTTAACAGGTTTCCTGGTAAGCTGCTATAAAGGATTTCTGTATTTCTATGGTCTGTAAGTGCCTGCAGAAGCTTCGAATGCTGGAAGTAACATTGGCAATAAAGGAGAACTTGACTCTGTCACCCAGCTGCCATTTAGCATTGTTTTGAACACTGTTTAAGAAGAGTAAAGCTTCACTCTAATAAATCTGCTCATCATTTAAAAAACAGTATATTTGAACATATAATCACATACTTCTGAGTAGGCAGCATTTGTAGCGCTTCACCCTTTGTTACTTACTGAAAATTCAAGACCCCAGAATTGTGAATGAACGCTTCCATCTCATATTATAGCATTGTCTCAGAACTTAAAGGTGTTTTAAAAAAATTATAAGCTATAAAAAAGAATAGGAAACTCTCAGATTTCTGATACTTTATTTAGTGTCAGGAATATCACTGGTTTAGAACTGTTTCTATCAGTGTTTAAAGTATCTCTGTGTCAAAGATAACATGCCTTATTTTTAGCAGCATTTATTTATGCTTAATTTAAAGTTACATTTTTATCTATTAAATGAAAATGTCTACCAGTATTATCTGAACACTAGATAATATGTAATTTTTCTGTTGAAAAACAGACTCCGAATCAATATTGTAATTTTCCCTTAATGTTTATAGTTTGGGGAGTGAGGGAAGTATGGTTGTCTCCTTAGAACTGTACCTTAGGAATGCATGGAATTTATTCTCTTTCTGTTAATTTACAAAAGAGAAACAAAACTTCCGTGACTAGATCACTTAATATTTTAAAGATTATTTTCTAAAATTATAAACATTATCAATATATCATAGATTTATCTTTGACTAGTGTGAGAGTTTGATCTATCAAAAAAGATGGGCTTAAATGAACTCTTAATTAGGAAGAGACACATTTAATTCCATAACTGTGTTAATGACAAATTAGTAGAGCATGGTTAACAATTGGATTTTGTCTATTCCTATACATTTGCATGTTTCTCTTAATTACTAGAATATCTGAGCAAAACTCAGAAATTAAATCAGAAGATGAAATACTGAAATAAGTTCTTGTCATTGTTGTTCTGTTGGCTGAGCAATGAGACATAGTTTTCTGGTTCTCACAGAAATGAATCAGGATCCCTGTTTTAAGGAGATAAAATGGAATATTTTTTGATGAAATTTTGAGTGAATTAATGCATTCCAGAGTTAATCAGAAGTTCCTGTGTCTGCTCAGAATTATTATTTTGTGTCTTTTAACTGAAATAACTGGTCACTTCTTAAAACAGATTTGAGAGATTTTTAAGGTCAAAATGAAAAAAGACAAACATGGTTGACATGCATTATGTAACCACTGAGACTGAATTTTCCACTGTATTGACTAAATTAACTAATTAACAGTGTTCTGTCTGCATAGAGTGACCTTCCAAACATACCCTGCACATGGAGTGGAAGACCAGTGTCCCAAGACATTTATTTTGTGTGAGGACAAGGCCCTACTTTGGTGAAAACCCAGCTTCTTTCCTTTAATGTTGCTAAATGCATCCAAGTGTGTATTCTCTTTTTATTATAGAAACATTGCTGCTTGTCATAGATCCATAAACACCAGGGAAATGACATTTCTAAGAATAAGAATGACACTCCCTTGGGAGATAAAACTTGGTCAAAAAACCTTTCATTTCCTGTAATTTTAGAGTCCAGCCTGAATAAACCGTTGGCCTCATTTCAAGGGCTGGGTCTCCATCAGTTTATAATGTAAGGAACACAAATGAAATATTTAGGTGGTGTTTTTGGAGACTTCCACATATTTTGATACTTTAAAATATCTTCTTCCAGACAAAACATCTTAACAAATGAATGCAGATGTTCTCTTATATTGGGCAAATTTAAAAGCCACGTGACATACTTTCAAAGTGAACCTGTAGATTAGAAGAAGTACAGTATTATGTTTTCCTCGGGCACTGCTTGTACAGGTTTCTTCTCCTTTTAGACCTGTGTGTACGTGTCAGGAATTGGTTATCAGTTCATTGTTATCAACTCTCTTGGAAGGATTCATTAATTTTATAACACAGCGTTTCTTTGCAATGAATAGTTCTGCAAACTGGGAGCTTCGTTATTCTTCTTTCTCAAGCCTTCCTGATACGCTGTAGTATTCCTTGGGAATAGAGTTTTACAGAATGAGACTATTCCCATTTTCAATAACCCATGCATATGTTTGTGCAGCATCATCAGGAAAGATGATGAGAAAACCTATAAAAGGCTCCCAAAGATAATCCTCCCAAAGGTCCACTCTTATTGGACCCAGCAAAGTAGTATAAGAAACTCATTGTGGCCTTTACCAGTAAGTCCCAAAAGGACAATGGAAAAATATGCCTGAGCTATGGAAATGGGCAGATCTAGTTTAAATCAGAAATATTGGAAATGTTACACTGTCTCTCTGAACTTGACTTTCCACATCAGCAGAATGGAAATGATTGCAGCTTCTTCACAGAACTGACATAATAATTACATCAAATAAGGAGACATATCAGTTTGTGAAGAATGGAGTTCAAAGATATGTTTATTTTAGATGCAAAGAATTTTAAAATCCATGCTTTAGTTTTCAAAATACAAAATTTCCATGAAATTTTGAAGATGTGTGTACAGAGATTTCAAAAGTTTTTGTACCCAAATAAACTTGCCTTTTAATGCCATTTATTTGTTATCTTTTTGATGG